ATCAATCAATACAATCACATTAGTAAATCAAACTGAAATAAAATTCTCAAATGTTATTGGTTAGAAGCTCAATTTAAGAATCAATAGGATAGAGTCCACACATTATGCCTTTGCAATTCAAGATTACACAAGTTTTTATGAAATAATGACTCTGTTTGACCTATGACTATTTTGTTATTTCTGAATCAAAACATTCTACTTTTGTATGTGGTTGAATAATGTGCTGTCAAATCATTTCACATGACCAAACAGATTTACCTTAAACCTTTACACCCAAACATCACTGTGCATATTCTCCATACAGTTCTCTATACATTCCCAAAGGTGCTGACAAGGAGAATTTGTTTCACATTCAAATACTTCTTATGTTGCTGGTTGTTTCCTTTATTGTCACAACTTTAATGTGTGATTTAAGGATGATATTGTAAGGAGAAATTAGATGCTAATCACCCTTAGGGGTTAAAAGGTTACAGGTTAAGATGACTTTAGAACTAAAAAAATGCTCTGTGATATGTCTCACCAAAGCCAGTCCCTGATACAACCAAAACAGAAAGTGTGTGAGCAAGGCAAAGTGTGTGCCAATACTATCAGTTCACGACAGATACAACAAAGTAGCTCCTCATTTAAATCTTTCAAGCACTTCTTTGATCTGCTTTCATCTACTAAATGAAATAAAAATTTAACATGAGCCCTGCCTATGTAACCATTAATGCAATTGATAATAATTTTCTCCCAGACTTTTGTTAGAGGAATACTTGCAATTTTGATGGAGAATATACAAAGTCATGTAGCATTAAATCGAAAGTGAGAGGAGTATAACTGGGTACCAGATAATTTTCAGGGAAGCCTGATGAAATGCTGGGGGGGGGGGGGGGGGGGGGGGGGGGGGGGGGGGGTAACCTTGTGATGAGCTGATATCCCATCTAGGGGGGGAGTAGTGAAACTCCTAGTTGCTTCATTCTAAGGAAGCCAGAATAATCTCCCACTAGTTGGGTCACTTTGCTTGCAAAAATACTTTATTTACTCTTTTTTATCAAAAGTGGCATTAAGGGCTTTTTTCTTCACATCCCTTCAACAATAGACAGATGCCTTCAGTGGAGAGTTGCATCCTACATTTGTAACATTACATAACATAAAATTCAGCTTAATTCACTTCTTGGAGTTAAATGTACCTTCAGTGATGTTTACTTCTTCCTGTGGATCAGCTTTTTGATCAAAAACCTGGGATTGGAAAAGAATATTCATGGTTTTGATACATGCCACAGAACACAATGCACTTCACTCAATGATACCCTGAGAAATTTAATAAAATGTAAAATTCATCTCTTTTAACTCTTGGATTTCCAGAAATGATTATTATAGTCTGTAATTTGTTTTCTCTTTGCCTTTTCTTTAAAAATGATATAAAAAAAGTAATTTGCCTCTTGATAATCATTAAATCAGAAGCCCAAGTTTATCTACCTGCTTATCGTCCATGCTGCCTTTAGTCTTCTTTTCACATGGAGAGCTGAAAATTACAAAAATATTAGAAGTTTGACAAGCCTATCAGCATTCAATAGGAAGTTCAGATTAGGTCTTGACACTTGGTCTTATTTTTAGCAGACTGGAACTTGATTTTAGGAACACATACAACAAAATAGTTATGTTAAAGAGGTGTAATGAGTGGGAACCTGTTTCTGGAAGATCCTGGTAACTTAAGAGGCCTGTACAGCTGTCTTTTTTCATTCAAGATGACGGTTTCAAAAGTTGTGAAAATTATACAATACAACTATCAACAAAATATTAAAAATGAACTGGTTAGGGTGTCAGAATCTGCTTCTCTATTGGCTTTAAATATTGACTTTAAAATATGGTTTGGGGCCTGTTAAGTTACTAGGACAGTAATTCAAGAAACAGGCCCCCCAACTTAAGATATGAAGATGCCCCTACACCTTTGGGGAAAATGTATATTTGACCCTTGGAAGAAAGATGATAGTCTTCATGCAAAATCATAAAATAATAAAAAACTGGGGTATGATCTTGATCCCACTTAAGAGTTACAGACAAAATAGTATCTGCTAAGGAAGTGAAAGAGGTAAGAGGTTGTTGTAATTTCTATGATCTCAACCCACACCACCCCCTTGAAATTTTTTTCCAGAGTATTTATTTCTCTGTCTAGTACCCTACACTCCTTTTCTAGGTCAAGTGACCCTACTCTCCATCATTACTACCCCTACTTCTCAGTGTTATGTACCCATACCTCACTCCTTCACTTAGTGATGCGGGCTTTTTCCGTTTGCTTCGCCTTCGCACGCTTCCATCGCTTGTTCCTTCCCCAAGGGAGCCCACTTCTTCAGAATCATTCTGGCAGACCTCATTAAAAACATACACAAGCTCCGAATCGTAGGCTGACAAACTCTGTCCTTCTTTCGTTTTAACGCCAGCACCTCCAAAAACAACAACATCACCATCGCATAGGACAGCAGAGCTACGCTTTGTTTTGTTGACTAGCAGCCCGTTCAGTCCTTTACAATTAATTCTGAATTTTCCATTGCTGAAATGAATTTCAGCGTGAACACGACTGATCATTAAAGGAGATATCACACTGTCAATAACAACATCTGAATATTCATCACTGCGTCCGAGACGAGTGACAGTCGGTTTTAGCAAAATTTTTTCTGGTTGTAGAGATGGATCATAGCAATTCCTTTCGACCCTCTGCAGACGGAGCATTTTTCTCCTCTGTTTCAGTGTGCAAAAGCCTCTTATACCACTTCAAGATTCTTCCAATGTTCTTGAAGTACTCTCCAAGCGGCCATTTTCACAGTACGACACGATATTCGGAAATCGTTCGGACAAGATCGGACAAGCTCGGGTGTAACTTCTCGTTAGCAAAATCAGGAATAGGGAAAAGGATAACGGATAACGGATATGAGGAATGAATGTGAAAGTGATGTTTTGTTTTCTCGCGGATCTCTGTCACGCTCACATCGCTCGTAAGCTCGAAACACGCGAACTGTGTTGATCAGCATGCAAAGTTTTGTACTTTTAATTGAATTTAGATGTTTCCGAACCCAGTCTGTTCGGACGGTGTATGCACAAAATAGGGAATTTTTCCCCTTGATGCTGTTGTTGTGTGGCATCGTGAAAGTTTGAATATACAGCAAAGGTCGGTAATAATAGTTAATTAATTAATTAATTAATTAATTAATTAATCTGATTGCGGTTCTTATATTGCCATAGTAACTTTATATGATATGTACACACAGATATAAAACACTGTATTCTTAAACTGGGTACCCAAAAGCCGTGCCCCCCGTTTCTAAGACTCGTGTCTTGTTGAAGGGAGGATGTTTTAAAATGGATATTGATCCCCTGAAATGGGTCCCTCTTCAACCCCTGGTATTCTCCTCAATGTGTGTTAGCATGATGGG